TTATCATTATTCTCATTCAGAGTTTGTTTTGTCCAATTCACCGAGGGGACGGGCAAAGAATGGGAATCTGGACGGCCGAGAGAAGCATTTTAAAATGGTACACGTGAGCTACGATCGTTAACAGGCTGCAAAGTGCGTCGCATGCCTCAGCGTCAGGCTATTGCTCATCATGGCATGCATGTGTACCTGCGTGCGTGCGTGCGTGCGTATGCGCGCGTGCGCGTTAACGGGTCGATTGCGGGAGGTTGGTTGATCTAAAAGTAGATCGTTCAAAAAAGTTTGGGCGCCCTGCTCTACTGTATCTGAAAAACACGGCCACACGCAAACACTCTTAATGAGCGTCATTTCCCAAAATGTAGCTCTTAGATCATACTTGCTGGAGTGCGTGCGTGCGTGCGTGCGTATGCGCGCGTGCGCGTTAACGGGTCGATTGCGGGAGGTTGGTTGATCTAAAAGTAGATCGTTCAAAAAAGTTTGGGCGCCCTGCTCTACTGTATCTGAAAAACACGGCCACACGCAAACACTCTTAATGAGCGTCATTTCCCAAAATGTAGCTCTTAGATCATACTTGCTGGACGAGAGCCACCTTTTCTTCCTGTAAGCCATCTTTTACGAGCTCATCAACAGTAGAACCATTGGAGCAGTGTCTTTAGATCACGGAGCTGACAGGTGGACATTTTGCAATTTTGAACTCTTCAACTCTGATGACGACTTTGAAAGACGACAACAGAGCATCCGTATGTCTGCGGAAGCGTAATGGTGAATGAATAGCTCACGGCATCTCCCCAGCCCGGGAGCCTCCCTTCTTATGCAATGAACGATGTCTATTTATAGGCACTGTTTAGCAGACTCTTAAGTTGTTATCGCTGCCACACACCCGCAGGTGATTTCTTACTTGTTGCTCCCTGGTGAAGGCTTCATGATTCAAATAGATCACCATTATAACTTCACTGGTAAACTGAGGCTGCAGTGCTTGGAGATCTTTTACAAGTACTAGATGACAACACTGTGTATAGTGATGGTGTTGTAAAACGTTCCAGTGAAACAAGCGATGAGACAAAGAGCAAGAAACATGAGTCGCAGCATTGCTATTTGGTTCATGTGCCGGTGATACAACAAGTGTCTATGTCACTTACTGAAGTTGGGGCGGGGGGTACAAATCCAAATTGGTAGCAGGGGTGATTGCTAATATTGCCTTCCAGTGGTGTGGGTCGTAGTAATGTGAGTGACACGCGTGGTCAACCACTGCCAAACCACTGAAGGAGATGACACCGTTCCCCCTGTCCTGCACAAATTAGAATTTTCACAAAGAGGTCATTCCTGGATGCACTATCAGGAATTGCACCAAAATAGGAAATATAATGTCATTTCCAACAACCCACAGAACTCACAGCGCAACCTCTTGACTGGGGCTTGAGGAAAACCAATACTAATAACTTGACTTGCTGAATTGGAGCAGCTCAGAGCGTCACTCCCGTTTAATTTCATATTTGAGTCCCGGAAAGTGAAAATAAATATTTCTTCTCAATTTGACACGCCCCAAAGAGATGTTTTCAACAACCATGTCAAATTTGGATGATTAAAAACAAAAGAATCTCCAAGTAAATAAAATAAGGCTTTGAGAAAAATCCTGCCATTGTGTCCAGTCTCAAACACTGCGGCCGTGTCCACTGAATGCACTGACAGCACGTCCTGCTCATCTGTTAACTGTCGATCTTATACAGCTTCTACCATGTGGAAAATGGGTGCTCCTTTGTCGAGCACCTTTCTGATGTCTACACAATAACCGAGGCTATAACAGTGAACAAAAATGAACAACTCAAATTGAAATTGAGAAAGCATTTTTGTTATGAAGTCAAATAAAAAATCATAATTAACTGAAACTACATTAATGTTTACAAAAAAATTACCCCCAAAAATTCAAACTAACAATAACAAAGCATTTTTGAGAAAATAAAAACTAACAAAGCTGCTTTGAAAACAAAACAAGTAGACGTTCGCCTGTCATCATCATCATCATTATCATCTGTTATGAACTTTGTCGCTTGAGTGACATACAGGGCAGCATCATATCGGAGGCTGCTCAGGCAACTCGATAGTGTCATACAGCACATTTGACAATAAAGTTGTAATTGACTTGATATGTACACCTGTCGCTTGCACATACAACAGCGCCATCTGCGGCAGAACTTCATGAAACTATCGAGTTCCTTTAGCAGCCTCCGATATGTTTTGCCTACCGTATAATGAATAAAAAAAGATACAAATGATTCGGGGACTTCCATACAGAGAGTGCGAGGAGGACTCCTTCTCTCCCCCCCACCCTGCGTGTTTGCCCTGTCTGCCCGTGTACTATGACTACACTGAAGAAGGGAAATGTGGAGCGACATTTTAGGGCCAGAGCTAAAAATGTCAAGTCCCAGTTGCGTTCTCCACCATAACTGATGATCATTTGGAAGTTCTTGTGGCTCGCTATCATTCGCTCCTGGCCGGCCGATGCACTCTGGCTGTTGCATTCAGTGCCAGTCATCAGAGTAAAAGAAGGCCAGAAAATGTACACCAGTTGAATTGTGCAATATGCTTCATGGAAGCTTCACCAACATATATTGGATATATCAAGATTTTGTAATAAATCCTTAAATAAATGTTTGTTTTGCATTTTTAGTGTCCTTTTCATTTTGGCTTGGTTATTTTAAAAGTAGCTCACTGACTGAAAAAGTGTGCTCACCCCTGCTCTAAAGATTGGACTGTCGGCCTGATGTGCACACACTCATTCTTGTATCTGAGAACGAGGCACTCTAAAGGTCAATTCATACTTTCCGAAGTTCTTGTATAGTGGGGGAGGGACGACTGATGCCAGGGTCCAAGTGCATCGCTAGCCCCGCTCCCCCCCCCCCTCCAAAAAAAACAGGACCACTGAAATGGGGAAAAATGACTTCTTGACCAAGGTCACACGCTAGCCCCGCGCCCCCCCCCCTCCAAAAAAATCAGGAACACTGAAATGGTGAAAAATGACTTCTTGACCCACTGAAATGGTGAAAAATGACTCCTTGTTCTATCTGCACACTGGAAGACAACAAGTTCGCACGTTTTCAGCACTTACATTCCAGCGTGTATAAAGTATTTAGAAACAAATCTCTGAATTCATTTTCCAGGTTCTTTCAAGTAAAGGAACCTTTTCATTGTGCTCTTGTTGGGGGAGGTCTGCCGTGTTGCAAGCACGGCCGGGCCTGGACATCATGCTGTCTTTGTGTCTTGCCAGAGAATGTGGTCAGGGAGTGGAGGTAAACCTCCAGCAGCAGTGGCATCATAAATCAGCCAGCACATACAAGAATCTCAGGAATCCAACACCGTCTTCCTCTTCCTCGCCTTAGTCCCACCCCCATTTTGCTGTCTCTTTAGCAAGCAGACATCTTTGAAGGGGGGAATTCTCCCATTCCCTCTTGCTTTCGAACGCTTTTCCTCTTCAATAACGCGGCTCTCAGCACCTTGGTGAAAACTGGTGAGGTGCCGAGCCATTGGAGCTGGCCTCATGTTATGCATCATCGCCACGGCTCCATGGGGCCCACGATACCCTGGCCGACGTGCTGCCGTTGGTGTCAAATATCTGCGGAAGCGCTGATCAGGTAATGAATTAGGAGAGGCAAGTCATTCCAGCCAGGATGGCTTCCTCATTAGCTCCCTCATTTCGTAGCTGTCAGTATTCCTCCGTGGCAGCTCGTTCACTGGAAGGCCACACGCATAAAACTGTCAGCAGACCCCGCCAAAAAACGTGGACTTTTGTTTATTGCAGGGACACTAGTGTTAGCATTATCAAGTGCGCCTTCGTCTTGGCTGTGAAAGTACAGACTGTATTTGGATAAAAGTAGTGGGACACACCAGAGTTGAACTTGCGACCCTCTGAATCTTCATTTGGCATCTCCAAATACTTTGAACAGTTATATGCTTTTAACTTTGGGAAAGAGCCTTTTGTGTTGTACAACAACTGTGCCCCAGTGCACAAAGCAGTGCGCACAACGGCGGGCTTGCATGAGTTTGGCCTGGAAAGAGCCCTGACCTAACCCAGTTAGACGCTATTCGAATGAACTAGACCAGGAGTGTCCAAGTCGAAATGGTATCCTTCACCCCCCATGAATTTGCACTCACATCGTATCCAGAGCAATTTATATTGGCTGGATTAGGGAGGCATTTTTTAAAACTTTTTTCAAACAGAGTATTTCCATTCCAATCCTTGCACCAATACTCGATAATGCTTTTATGTCTTCCCATTTTGATGAATTTTTTTTGTATTGTTTATCAAAGTGACCTGCAGTTGAGTTGAGTTGTGTTCTTGTGTAAATGGAATACAGTAATCATAATTGCTTTACTCCAGAAGTATGTGAGCTGTTTTTGTTGTATGTGCTTTTGCCCTTCAGGAGGCGGTGTGGTGCATGCATGCAGACAACATGCATAGATTTGATGAAAAGACACAAAAAAGGCAAAGCTGCGGTGATGTAATTCATTTTTCAGCAGAGTACAAACAGATGCCTGTGCGGTTGTATCGAATCTTTCCATATATGTTGCTGCAGCGTTTGCTTTTGACTATTTGTTATTTATATTTCCTACACTGCAACTTTGATGGTATTTTAACACAAAAACAAAAAAAATTGATAAAGCCAAAAAGTCAAGTCTATTTTTTTCTGCAACTCTAGACATGCTCCCTCTACAACCAATGGAGTACTGGCGTTTGTAGTTGTAGTGGTAGGATATGCATACGGTCCACGGGTCGTAGGTTGGAAATGGCTGAACAAGACCATCAATCGTGAGTCAGGCTCTGGCAAATTCCAAGTGACTGGACAAAATCTCCACCCACCACACGAGGAAATCTTGTTGGAAGCCTTCCCAGGAAAGTGCAAGTGGAAGTCAGATGACTCATGCTTTGCTGTCGATGTGCCGCTCAGAAGAATTGGCGTGTCAACCTCTGCCTGTACATTGCGCGTCCCGTCCGAGGCTGTCTTGACTACGGACACGTCTGACCTTGCCTCACTTGTTACTTTGTGCTCATACTGATTGCCAAGCGAATACATGTCACACTTTCACACCTCCAATATGGAGGCTGTCACTGTTGTGGGTAACAAACTCAACTCAACTCAACTGTATTTATAGAGCACTTTCAAACAGCCATCGCTGCATACAAAGTGCTGTACATGGAGCAACTATCATATAACTGGATACTCAACCTGCTTAACTGATAGTCCCTCAAAGAAAACAACAGATTTTTTTAAAAACATTATTGTTAATCTCACAATTTGAAGCCACCAGCAAATTCTAATCATGGATGATTTCAGCTGGCAACCATATTTCCGGTGCTAATTTCAAAAATGTCTTTCATTTTCTAGCACATCAGGTTTGGGAGATTTTTTTTCACTATAATAAGCTTGAGAAATAATGATTATAACATGCGTTGTAATTTACCCATCCATCCATCCATTTGATGATCCATTTTATCTTCACTAAAGTCACAGGCCATGCTGGAGCCTATGCCAGCTGTCTTCGGGCAGTAGGCGAGCGACACCCTGAACTGCTTGCCAGCCAATCGCACGGCACACATAGACAAACAACCATTTGCACTCGCAATCACACCGATGGGCAATTTAGAGTGTTCCATTAACCTCCCATGCATGTTTTTGGAATGTGGGAGGAAACCGGAGTACCCGGAGAAAACCCACACAGGCACAGGGAGAACATGCAAACTCCACACAGGAAGGCTGAAGCCGGAATCGACCCCCGTCTCTGCAGTGTGAGGCCGACGCACTAACCGGTCGATCTCCAGGCCACCATATATGACTATAGTATAGTCACTATACTATTATTATTATTATTATTATTATTATTATTATTGTTACTGTACTATTAGTAGTAGTAGTATTATTTTTATCATTATTATTACTATCATTGAGGTTTTTTAAACTGCTATTTTCAGTATGGCTCTTCACTCTCCATGCCATGTGAAGAATGATCAAATAGTGAAAAGTTTAAGATTGAAAACTTTGCTTTGAGCTCTTGGATTTCACAGCCTGAAAGCCCAGGCAACCTGCAGTAGTTTACCTTTGTGTCCCCACTTGGATTTTTTTTCTCCTCATCCGTAGTCTGTGTGTAGTCCAAGTAATTCTATCAAATAGACGTGTGTATATTGTACTGTCAATAATGCCCCACATGCAAGATTTAGCTCCAAAAGGGTTACACTTCTTAAATATTGAGAAAAGGTGTTTTCAAAAAATAATCAAATGGATACGCATGTTTTGAGTCAGAAAGCAAGGTGTCATGAGTGGCTGAACCTCTCTGGTTTGTTGTGGTGTCCGAGCTGCAAAGTGAACATGGCCCCAGCCCCCTCCAGAGGGAGGCCAGCCCTGACTTGCGGCACCTCAATTTGGCTTTTGTAAAGGAGGAGGCGAGGCCTCCTGTCATGCTGCCTACTGGGTTTAGAACTCGTGCTTGGAGTGTTCCAGAGGCCCCGTGATTAATGGTGGTGAACTCAGAGGGGGCAGCCAGGGAGACACTTTGGGTTGGAAAGACTGTGCAACTTGAATGCACAAGTGGAAGGAGTTTTGCCAAAGTGTGCTTTAGTCTGAGCTATCTTCTACAATGCAGCCTCGGAATTGTTCCATATGAAATAACCACTGAAACACACATCATTCGAAGCAGGGATCGTTTTATTAAAAAATAATTGACATCTTCAATATGAGCACTCGCCTGCTCATTCCACTGTCAATCGTATGACTATTTACAGGGCACACGTAAGAAAAGAGACCAAAAAACATGCAACAGTACTCTGAACATCCGCCACAAAACCTTTTTGTTTGTTTTTTTACAAGGTGCATTCATTTTTTTTGGCAGTGCAGTAATTCATTCTTAAACACAACCGGTTCATGTACAGTAGTTGGATGAAAACCTGTGAGAGTTGTACGCTGTGGGATTTTAGATGAGCGATGCTAATGAGTGCTAGTAAACGTATGATTGAGATGAGGATGGCCACTAATGGGCCCCGGGGCCACTTTGGAATGTGCTGATGACCATCGAGGCCAAGCATGTGCAGTGCTGCCTTCACATACCAGTGACCCCACTTTGGAGTCGTGGGAGATGCGAGCCATCATTCCATCAGGTGTTTGGCTTTGCCTTGTGAGAGCAAACTTGAGATTGGAGCTCTGGATGCTCGCAGTTGAACATAACTCAATTCACCTGACAAGAAGAAGCACTTTGGCCAAAAGTCAACAAATCTTCAAGATGTTGGTTGCCATTCCCAGTTGAGGTTTACCATCAAACTGAACATAAAACCAGGAGAATTATCAATTGCAACAATCACAAATATATATTTAGTCAATGATGCTAAGACATAACGGGAAAGGCATATAGAACCCTTTCAGCAACTGAACTGAACTTCAACCCTGCAGCAACACCTCCTCCTTACATTCAATGAAACAGTACGCAGAGTTGTGTATTCTTTATCCTCTGCAAGGAGCTGACTTGAAATGTCTACACTGTAAAGATGTTCATTTACAGTATACACTTCCGTCCGTGGAAATTCTTTAATTCTTGACATTCTATTTAAATATGTAATTGCTGTTTGTTTTTTACAGTACTGCATTATAACACTGGCCAAAAAATGCTTACATTTTTTCTCAATTTTTACATTTACATTATTCTCAATTATTTTTTTGTGCCAATTCTGAATCTGCCCTTATTTTTTTCTCTAGCACATCAGCTTTTCATAATATGAATAATAGTTATAATAATTGGAATAATAATAATAATAATAATAATAAAACGGTGGAGTTTTTTCTGAAACGACACAGCTGTAAGTTACAACACGTGATAAAAACTGTAATGCGCAAACTGATATAGATCAAACTGAAAAACAAAAAATGAAAAATATCTTCAAAACCTGATGTGCTGGAAAAAAAATGTCAACATTTGTTCCATCAGCCTCAAAAATATGTTTCAGGAAATGTAAAGCTGTTAGTGATTAAAATCTGATGTTGAGCAGTTTAATTCAACCTTTAAAAAAATCACATCACAATTTTTTTTGTGAGGAGCGCGGAAGAGAATCATGACATTTTCAATCATTTCATTGGGGAAAGACGATTTAAGACACAAATGATTTACAATAGCAGCGTGGTAATGGTACAAATTAAATGTGTGTGTCAAGCCACCGCTGCATAAAGTTGTCTGCATATGCCGGATCACAGTTAGAACCAAATGAGGACGGGTGGGAATAATGCATGAGGTGAGAGACATGACGAGGAAGGACACGCAAAAAACTAGGGCGCTCTTGACTCCTTTTGGCTCCTGCACTGCCTCTTGCGCCTCATCGTGCGGTTCCGGAACCAGATCCTGGCCTGGTGATGCATGAGACACGGGCTCGTTGACAACTCCGCCCAGCGAGGGCCATGGAAGTACGGACTGCAGCGGGATCCCCTCTCCAGCTCTCAACGGTCACGCGTCGCTTCCCGGGAAGATGAGCCTGTATATCCATCCCCGGTCTGGAAAGCACACACAAGAGTAACATGTAACAAGTCTACCATACTCCAAAGACTGCCCCCAGCCAGCACGTGTTGAAGGTCTGAGACAAGTGCAGAGCCCTAGTTTTTTCGCGGCTCTTCAGGCACACTTGAGACAGACAGAGAGTCAGCCTGTCGACTGTTGTCTTGTGCTCCGTGAAGTTTGGCTCCCGAAGCAAGAGTCTGAAGGAAACATCTGACGCCACTCCGGCCGCCTGATAGGCCACATTCATCATGGCGACACACATGGGCACACCTGCCACGGCCCAATCTCAGTCACTTAAAACGTTGCCTCAGGACATTCACGAGAAATAACCACTACTGGACAAGTGTTTTGATAACGATATCACATACAAGGCTAAATAGGTACTTAATAAGGCTGAGTGACATAAGAGGAAGAGGTGCACATCTTAGAAACAGCTGATCGTATAGGAGGTAATGACGTCTTGTTATTCAACGCCTGCTAATTTGTCTCTCGCATTCGATGCAAGGTCTGCAGCATCTGATTCTCGCCCTTCAGCATCCAAGATATATCTCTGTAGCACGGGTGTCTAACAAGACCCGAAGGTCCAAATCTGCACATCACCTGATTGGGGTCCCATGAAGCAACATAAATGTGTCTACTTGGTTTATTGTTTGTTGTTTCAAGTGGGGTCTCCATTAGTTTTCGCCATGGGGAACACTAAATCTTTCTTCACAGAAATTACAGGCAAATTCAGCTCTATTCTTTCACAAATCCTAATCAAATGAGTGCAATCCTTCACCTCAACAGTTGAACATAAATGAATAAGTGTCAACATGAAGTGAGCCAAAACAGGAGGAAAAAAAATGGCCACGAAATTTAAACCTAACCCCTGTCAATCACAATTCACCAAACTGAGATAATAGACTGAGTGGTCCTTGCAAACAGTTTACTTGGTTCGTTGTGAGGCTCTCAAACAGGGATCTTGGTATGACAAATAGATAACAGGAGTTATCAGTTGGAGAGGCAACCAAAGATGGCTGTCCTCTGGCTTCCATCGCGAGAGGCGATTGGCAGTCTAGGTCATTCCTTATGCATCCAAGTTTTGGAGGGGGATCTCGGTGCCTCAGACAGCTTCCAGCTGCAAGTCACCAAATAAGAGGAGGTCATGTTCTTCCCTTCATTGGAGACGGGGCACTTTGGCAGCCTGTCCCCCAAAAGCTGTGGGGGCAGACTGTGCAGTCTGGGAGGAGTCCATGGAGCTGCCAGCTCATCAAATCAAGAAATTGAAGGCATAAATAATGTCTGTGCATGTGGCTCAACGCAAGATGAAAGTATAAAACACGAATTTGGAAAAGCAAGGTGGAAAATTGGAACAATATTTACCAGGAAACACCCCATGGTCACGTGCTCGTGAGATGCCCAGTGGCTGAGCTGTGGGGGACCAAAGTCAACTTGAAGCGTTCGGGCTACTTTTTTCAAACAGCATCGTCATCTAAGAACGGTGGCGGCGGCAGCAGCAGGAACAGCAGCAGTAGTCTAATCATATCTTATAGGATTTTTTAAAAAAGAGTTGAGGGGAGTGTAAATTAAGGAATACGCAAGGAGTGACGTCATCGTGGGACGGCAGAGAGGAGCGACAAACCTTACTTTTTGATTCGTCGTTATTTCTTGTATTGCTAAAAGGAGATTTCGCTTGTGTCTGCAAAGCCTCAATTGTATTTGTTGTGGTTGATTTTTTCTTTCCTTTTTTGTTTTTAATATGAGGCGTGTCGTCAGGATTTAAGCGTCCGGCTATGGCTATTTGCTGAACGGCACCGCAGTATTTACTTAACGAAACATTTTTATACGGTTAAAAAAATTTCCGTTTGGGATATTGTGATCCGTGTGTGTAAATTAAATACATGCGTTATGTACAGCACACCACTTCCCCAAGTTGGCTTTTATTAAAAATAAAACAATCGTGTGATTTTAAAATGAAAAATTTCCGTTTGGGATATTGTGATCCGTGTGTGAAAATTAAATACATGCGTTAAGTAGTTAAGGTAAGTTATGAATATTTCTTAAGAGCATTTTAGAAAGTTGTTTTTGTTTTTGTTAAACAGCACAAATGTTTCTAACTGTCATTTCTTGCAGTGGGCTTCCCCGGGAGAGGCCATGAGACAAAGCTCGCCTGTCAGCGCACAAAGACAAGAGAGACAATCAGCTCTTACTTTCTCGATGCAAAAATCTGTGTTCACTACAGTAAATAAATACATGCTGCATACTGCATAACATGTGGCCCGTGGCCCATGCGAACGTGTCGATTGTGTTTCGCATTCATTTTAGGGTAATCGCATCAAGCGAAATTATTGGTATTCTAATTACACAGACACCGCAAAGTGAATAAAAAAATATTTGTTGTCGCACAAACGTGGTGGTCATTGTGTCCCCGTAGTTACTTCCGGTGTTTCACCTGCATGCATAATGATGTGAACAGCGCCAGAAGCAAATGTTTCCATCCACGCCTCTCGCCACTGATGGACCGTGCACTCTGGCTTGCATTTTGCAAAGGCGCCTTCTTCCTCCCTCTTCAGCTTCACCTCACTTTCACCTGAACCACTTGGCTTCACTGACCTATTTTCCATTTTCCAAAGGTGAACATTTGCCGAATTCGTTTTCATAATAATTTAATGTTTATTATAAGCAAATCATTCATTTGGAAATAGTCAAATAAAACATCTTTTTACATTAACAATGGGCTCATTTTACATTGAAATGGCTTCCTAATCAGATTCTCTGGCTTGCATTTTGCAAAGGCGCCTTCTTCCTCACTCATAAATGACTTTTAGTTCGCTGGGCTACGATACAGGCATATACATGATGCTATAGGTCGGCTAATTGTCATGCGGAGGATCACTATAAAACTGAGAATGCGAGTAAAAATTAAACACTTCCGTTTAGTGGTGTCAGGGCAAATACAAAGCATTCCTGTTGCTGATTGTCCATATTACTGTTGTTGTTTTCGCTCTCAAAGATGGGAAGGAGCCACTGAGTTGGAGGGGAAAGTCATGCAAGTGCTTGTGTTTTCCTCACATGCAACGCACCGCTGAACACGCTCTGCATTGGCGTTATATAGAAAATGTGACGTACAAGCTCGGCAAGGCCATCATTTAGCTCCTGCGCCTGCATCGCGATTCTTCCTGAACTCTGTTTGAACCGCCTGAGTAGCAATAAATCATTTTTCTGCCTCACACGCTTGCGCGCGCGCGCGCGCACACACACACACACACACACACACACACACACACACACACACGGTCGCCGGTAGCTCTGGGTGTCACACCCTTTACAACTTCTCTTCCCATCCCCTTTCATCTTACCTCCTCCTGCTGACAACAACCAAGAAATTTTCAGTAAAGGATTAAATAATAGTTTCGAAAATACGCTGCTTGGACCTTGACGTTTGCATGTCAAATCTTGAAAATGCTTTACGTTAAATAGGTCTCTGTAAACAAAAACAATCTTTCTCTCTCTCTCTCTCTCTCTCTCTCTCTCTCTCTCTCACTCACACACACACACACACACACACACACCACCTCTTTTGTTATGTTGCAGAGATAGTGTGTGTGTGTTGGCGCGCGCGCGCATGCGCAGACAGTCTGGCGAGATAAGATGAGACGGAGGGAGGAGGCGTTAATGGGCAGAGAGGATGCTGCCGGTTGAAACGCTGCATATAAATGGCGCTGTTCTGGCACACGGCGAAGATTGATGGTTCCTGTGCCCTATATTGCTGTAAACAATGCAGGGCCAAATGAAAGGACTGCAGTTTGCTCACCACACTTCCCGAGTCAGCCGAAAACACACAATACAAACACAGGCTGTGTCAATTCCACATCCAAGCAAGCATGCGCGCAAACACGCGGTTTATTTGGGCCTGCTGCATGCGTGCATGGACGCTAATGCGCCGGCTGACAGAAAGACACAAATCATGCTGCTGTGAGAGCATGAAAAAAAGCAATCAGGATTTCGATTTGGCGAAATGGTTTGACTTTCGAAAGACATGAAATGCACATCTAGTTGTAAAAGGTCCCGTTAAAAAAGATTGATATGTGAATGGATCTCGGTCACTCACCGAATTCTCACTGTTCCTAGTATTTTGGCCACCGAAAGCTACATGAGGGCAAAGTTGGGCGACACGTTTGTCCTGCAGGTGATGCTGCAGTGTAGTTGCACATTATTGCAAAATTCAACCTGCACAAAACAAGAGCAAGGCGCCCGTCAAAACGATTATCCTAGTAAAGGGTTCGGGGGAAACTTGTTCCCTTTCTGCTGCTGGATGGACCCAATGTTGTGGCTATTCACGTTGTAAACAAAAACTCCGGTGTACGTGTCTGAAAAGAAACACGTGGGACGTTCGCTTCAAAGAGAGAATAAAACAGATCACACTGTGATGACCTGAGCGCAGTAACATCGATAAAGAAATCTAAAATGTTTGACGCATCCGATTTGAATTTAACCGCCAGGTAAGTGTTCAGGAAACACGGTTGTAGTTTGCAGCATCACAACGAGAGATGTTTCGAACATTTTGGTTACTCATTTCAGCACAAGTGGGGGAATCAAAAGATTATCAACAGTTCTCAGTGCAATAAATTCAAACTTGCGCCCAAAATAATCATGTACTAGAAGTTGAACACCTCGATGATCGATCATGTCAATAAAAAAAAGCATTAATACATTTGTAAATGACACGTCGAAATTAAAACTATTATTGATATTGTACTATTGTCATAATGAATTATATTGATATCTGTTATTTTTATTGGAGTCATCCCTAGATAGATTATTTGTCTGCCACAGCCCACGGTGACGGGTCATGAAAGTTGACTTTGGTCCTGCGTGTTTGGTCCGGTGTGTTGCGGCGTCCAAGTCCATTTTGGATATTTAAGCGTTGCTTGCAAATCAATCGACTGCTGGCGTTTTCAAATGTGCCTTTTATGGGGAAAAAAATTGAGCACAAAAAGGACGCGGTGCATCTGCTGCCCGAAAAAAAAAGATTTACGGTTTGATGACGCACCCAGTGGTGGTGTCGCTGGCATACTGGTCACTGCGAGCGCACACCCACGCAAGCACAAACACGCACACACACACTCACGCGCGCAAGTCAGCAGTGTGACCCTTGTTTCAACTTGCAGCCTTTGCAGCAGCTGCCACCGCTGCACAAAAAACGACACTTTTCATCACCTAGCATAGTGGCTCATGCTCACTTGAGAGCACTACGTGTGTTTGCTGTGCGCATAAAAACGTCAACTCGACTACAATCTATAGATGTTTTTATTATTCATTCGTTCATTATTATTATTATTATTATTATTGCACCATTCAAACATTTCGACAACTCTGTAAATATGTTTCTGCACCTTATAGAATCCAAGCCCTGGGGCGAGAATAAATCAGTGCGAGTGTGCCAGGGTGTAATTGGTGCATCTGAAAATCCAGAGCGATTCAGCAGTCAGAAGAAGATACACGCATTAAAAAAATCTCTGGGGCTGAGTAAGTGTTTAGGAATTTAAAAGAGTGAAGCAGAGACGATTTGCACACGTCCAGCGTGACGATAGTGGCTACCTCACCCGCAGCACAAATATGCTTCATTTACGATCATATAAGGCATTGCAACGTCAAGGGTTTCAAGAGCGACGAGATTACATTACATTACATTGAGGGTGGTCCTCTGACGTGTAAAACACAAATTGGCAGACTAAATGCACACATGAGGCTGAACATATTTCCAAAGTTCCCACAGCTCCTGTGCAGAGTGATTTGAATGCACCTTAAATCTCAGAGATGACTCATCCAATCAAACAGTTAGAAATTATTCGAAGTGCAAATGAGAATTGAATAAGATGTCCCTTGAATATGGTTGCCTTATTTTACTGGAGCAACGTCTTGAGAAGATAACATGAAGTTAAACTTTGCAGTTTTGAATTTGGGCGACAAATAGATGATCGAACAGTAACTTTAGTCCTGCTAAATGTTTTCTTTGATGATTGTGCTATTCCAAAATGCCAGAAATCAAGCTATAGTTTTAATCAAACTGGATTAAAAAAAAATAACGAAACAAAAAAGTTTGACTCGTGATTTATTAAAAAAAATTATACACACCTTGCTAATTCTGCCAGTCTTTTTTTTTCAATCCAGAGCACAACTGTGTTGACAAAACAAGAATCGAAACGTGATGTCTGCCAACCGCTATGAGCCAAATGATCATCTTGGATTTCGGTTTATGTTTGGGAAACACACATGGAGGCTTGCATAGCAAAGACTCCCGGAAGTCCCTGTCCAAACGCTCAATCAAAAGTGGATGGATGGGCTCACCTTTGATATTCTCAAGGAACACACGTCTTCCCCTTGCTGCCCCCGCCATGACTTTTATGACGACTCATTCCCTTTTCAATGCATGCACCAACGTTCCCAGAATGCTGACAATAAATGGCCATCAGACGTAATTTGGGGTCATTGGCACTCGAATTTGGAGATAGCTGCAAGTAAATGCGCTTGCGTGGAAGCTCACCTGATCGTAATTCCCAAAGGGAGTGAGACATGGCGGAGTCCTGACCCGCCCGCAGGCGCAAAGAACCGAACCGAGGCTAACGGGACCCGAGCCCGAGCGGGTCACGGGGCGGGAGGGGGTTGAGCATCCAGGTTGAAACGGGCCTAATGGGACAGAAAATGTGTCCTTGGTGTGAACTCAGCCCTCGCACATGCATGCCCCCCCCCACCGCCTCCATGAATGACCCCCACAAACTTCTTCAATCAAGCACCTTTTCAGCGTGGCGACACGGAGGCGAGAAACAGACCAGTGGAGGGATGCTGCATGTATGCCGACTGTGGCCGGCACATCCATTTCTCCAACGTGTCCACCAACATAAAGGCTCCTGCGCTCATTTTTCAGCCGCGTCACATCGCTTTTCTGCGGAGGGGCAACCTCCCTCCATGAGCACCATTTCACGCTTGTGCCCTAGCATCAGCAAGTCCACCTCACACCACATGCACGCACATTTTGTCATGCAGGTTCTATTCTCCACATCAAACTGTCTTTAATCCGATGCATTTTGCATGTGCAGTGAGAGATTGATGGTGGAGAATGGCTCTTGCATTTGTGCCAAGAAAGAGGAAAAGCAAATCATCGTACAATTTTACAAATGTATCAAATTGGTGTCCATTTTGTTTATCTTAAATTATGTTTGGATGCATTTTACCGTACAGGTGTGCGCACAAAAATAGAGTATAAACAAGTCGGCTCTCCCGCGAATGTTTTTTCAATGGGCAGTGTTTTGCTTTTAACTCCGATAACAAAAAAAAAAGGGGGCGGAAAAAACACGTCCTCCGCAAGCTTAAGGCCATACTGTTGCTATCCTCTCTTTTAACTAAAACAACGTGCTGCAAATCAGGATTTTATTCACTTAATTTTGTACATTGCGAAATGTGTTCTGTGGACAAGAAAAGCAGGCTGACTGGAGAGAGTGTACAAAGGCAATATGACGATTTCCCCAAACAATGGCGACCCCCCCCCCCCCATACATACTGCAAATGTCCTCTAAATTGATTCTCGTGCAGCTTTGTGTTCAAGTCACGCACGCGCACGCATTGAAATGCGCAACGATAGCGGCAACGTTCATCGACAGTTAAAAAAAAAAAAAACAGTGGTTCTCTTTTCTACACACGAGTAAATCAAATTGTGCCAGCAATGAACCAACGAGTCACCAAACGTATAGAAAACTATAGATGACACTCACTGTTTTATTGAGCAATATGATTTGCACAAATACACTCCGTTTATTGCATTTCACAATAGTCCGTTTTAAAAGGTCCTAAACACAACACCAACACCACGAAACCAAACTGTAAATCAAAAAAATTCTCTTTCTGAAATACACGAGGTAATTGTCACATTTGTATCCTAAACATACAAGTTCGAGATCAGTGGTGTGTTTCAGCTTGTTCTTTTTTCCCCCCCAATACCAAAAATAACGATTTTGATGTCCTTCCAGTGTTTGAAATAAATAGATTGTGCATTTCACTTGGGCAAAAGAATGGCCCACAAGAATATTTGGATTAAATGTATCATCTGCATTTTTTTTCCTTCATTCAAAAGAGAATAAAAACAATTTCAAACGAGTTTCAAATAAATTAAACCCTGTTTCACGTACAAAAGAATGCATCGCTATTCGCAGTACTCCATGCTATATAACATGCATTTTATATAACGTCGGACTTGGAGGAAACCGCACACGATGGCTACGACAAAACAAAATAAATAGATCAAATAAAACCAGAATATCTCATCATTCTATAAATAAGCAGTTCTATTGTGTTTTCGTTTTCCGCCTGCGTCGTCCATGTGTGGTTTTATAACCTGGTCATGTCGTCGCCATGCTGCTGCGCTGCGCTCAGTTCGTCGGAGGCCGCCGCAGCGCTGCTGGCGGAGCAAGGGGCCACCGCGCCGGCTGCCGAGGCGATGCCGGAGCCGGACGACGACGACAACGACGACGACGCCGACGACGACGAGGACGACGACGAGCGCACTTTGGTGTTGGGCAGCCGGTGGTCCTTTTTCCATTTCATCCTGCGGTTCTGAAACCAGATTTTGATCTGCCGCTCGGACAGGACCAGCGTGTGGGCGATCTCGATGCGCCTCCTCCGAGTCAAATAGCGGTTATAGTGGAACTCCTTCTCCAGTTCCAAGACCTGCTGGCGGGTGTATGCTGTCCGAGACCGCTTGGGCTCCGTCCCGTTGTAGCCCGAGTTCACTGGGCGAGGGTGCAGGGGGGTGGGGGCGAGGAGAAGAAGAAGAAGAAGAAGGACAAGTCGGTATAAAGGAGGGCTGTAAAACATGGATGTGACTTGAAAGATTTATGGGCACGTTTGGGATATTGGAAAGGCAACTTTCGAAGTTGTGGGGACACTGGCTGCAGCCAACTAGGCTAAATTATTAATGCAAGATTACAAAACTGGATTTTTCCCCCCTCTCTCTTCCCAGCCAGCCCTTCTTATTCATACGTCCCCTCGCTCTCTCTCCCCCTTTCCATGGCGCAATACATAACAGCAGAAGCCACATGGTGATGCGGCTGCCCTGAGTATACCTCGGCTATAAAATTTATGGTGGGTGTAATTACCAATGCCGAGTCGTAAATCCGCCTCAATTGTGCCATTTCAAAAGGCTCGCCTGCTATCGGAGCAAGGGCTGGCAACGAGATGGGAGTCGGGGGTTGATCAAGGGGGAGAGGGCGGACATAAACACGCAGCTTTTGCCTACCGGTGCTGACGTGAATCTTCTTCATCCACGGGTAGACCACGGGCTGCTTGGACGAGGTGGCGGCGCTGTTGGGATGCTCCGGGAGGGCTTGGTTGCAGGCGGAGGCTGCGGCCGGCGGGGTGGCGGGGGACATGGACAACTGGGGGGTCTCGCACGAGGCGGGCTGGCCCTTGCCCGCGAGTAGGTGCGCCGAGTGGGCTATTCCCGCGTGTCCCCTCGGCGTGTCGGGCTCGGGGATGCTTGCACAAATGTACTGGCGTTCTTGGTAGTTGGCCCGCTGTGCAGCATACAAGTCCTGCTGCTGCTGCTGCTGCTGGTGGTGGTGATGCTGCTGCTGCGGCTGGTATCCTGGATCCCTGGCGCGGCCGTAATATTCGGGACTGTGCTCAGGGATGTAGTTGTTTTGCGAATATTCCTCACATGGAGGAAATTTCGGATCAATGTAGTTGGACTCCATCAAATACGAGCTCATGGTCATTAATTTCTGGAGTGCAAAATAAATTTTCTAGCTTTGTCGTTTTTCTGCTCCATAAAGCCCTCCTACTTGCGAGCAGCGCTGTAAAGTTACTTTTACCACGTGACGCGGCCGGCCAATCGCAGCCGACCTAGAGGTACCCGGATAAGGAACCAGAGGTGTTTTGCATACCTTCAGTCGACTCGCCATGCATGGCGTCCTCACGCCAAGTGGCCTGTCTCTCTCTATCGCTCTCTCTCTCGCTCTCTCTTTCTCTTTCTCTCTCGCCTTCTTGTCGTCTCCGCTTGCTTGCTTGCTCCCTCGCTCTCCCTTTCCGCTTATCTTAGCAAAGTCATTGATCTTGGCGACAAAACTAGTAGCTTACTTGCTGACCAAGGAGAAAAAAAATGAAACGCAGCGCTCCCAATTATTCAAGGAACAATACAGCTGTTGCACAACGGATAACAACAACAAAAACAACAAAAACAACAACAACAACAACAACAGCTCCTCCCGACGAGCCTGCACAAAGCTCACGAATGAATCCAGCAGCGCTTCAATCAAGAAAATGGACAGAAGAGGAACGGCTTGTGCTTAGTCTCAAAATCGAGTGCACGATAGGCAAAATGTGCTCGATTTTGAAAACCCACAAATGGGTCAGCTCACTCGAAGATGAGGTGAAGATAAACAGTTAAAAACGTAGATGTAAAATGCGTTCATATACTGTAGTAACTAAGATCCTCTTGATTTCACATTTTTTATAAATTCATTAAACTATCATGAATTCACCAATTATTTCCTGAAATCAAGACGCAAATTTTGGTGGGGGGAAAAAAACAATTGTTTGATGGTGCATCCATCCATTGTCTACGCCTCTGATCCTCACAGCAGGTGGAGCCTCTGCCGTCTGGCTCCAGGCTAAAGGTGGACGATACAGGACTATCCATGCAGTCAACAACAGTGGTCCTCAAAGTCTGGGACGAGCACCACTAGTTGTCCATGGGGTCCTTTTAGCGTACATGAAAACAATCACTGCCCAAGAGCAGCTCCCTTTTTAATTCTTAGTGCAATACATTTACATTTCATCTTTAATCATATTGTTGAGGTACATTTTTGTTTAACTTTGTATATGCAAATACAATTTTAATGGAGTCACTTTGTATTTTTTTTCAAGATTTGAAGCACAGTGTCTCTGTTCAAACTGCGCATAAGGTTGCAGAGGCTTAGAATAATGTTGCTTTTTAGGAATCATACCGTCTGTTTTTATTTTATTTTGGGTCGACAAACAAGTGTAAATGAATTTAGGTGGTACTTATTGTAAACATGACAACCACTGGTCGCTGGCATGGGCGTGCCACATGAGTAGTTGGCACGTGTGAGCCTTACCGGTGAGCTTTAGCGAACTTTTCATGTTGACATTCATTTTGAAATCACACAATTTGGAAATCGTGATTTTTTTTTTTTCAAATAGCACACTTCAAAGGACAACATTTGAGTGTAGGACTAAATCATATTGTTTGGAGGGAAAAGCTAGGAGGCTCAAGGACCATGAGATGATTTATTAAATATTTTGAACAAAATTGTTACATCTGAGGTTCAGACAGAGCAGGGTTCAATTCCGGCTCTGGCCTTCCTGTGTGGAGTTTGCATGTTCTCCCGGTGCCCGCGTGGGTTTTCTCCGGGTACTCTGGTTTCCTCCCACATTCCAAAAACATGAATGGCAGGCTGATTGAACACTCCAAATTGTCCCTAGGTGTGAGTGTAAGCATGAATGGTTGTTCGTCTATGTGTGGCAACCAGTTCAGGGTGTACCCCGCCTTCTGAGAGCTGGGGATCGGCTAGAGCATGCTCGCAACCCTTGTGAGGCCAAGCGGATTAGAAAATGGATGGATGGATGAGCTGTTATTTCTGAAGTTGGAACTGGTAGCCCCTCAGCGTTCATTAGTGGCCATGGAATAGCTCTCAATTTGCAAAAGGATGTTGACAGATGAGCATTCACATCCTCACTGAGCAGAAAGTGAACCATACTAAGGCCAATGTCCGACTGTATCATCAGTAAATATTGAATCACATAAATGCATTTGGGGAAAAAAAGCATATGAATTAAAAAAAAAAAAAAAACTTTTTAGCAAAAAAAGTCAAATTATATGATAAATATTACAAGAGTTTTGTCAGTGGTGGAGAGGGACATATTAAAGACCGAAGGGGTAGCCCCAACCCATAGTTTACCCACCCTGCTCTAATCTCACACACCAGTGTTCCCACTCCAAGCTATGCTTGTTGCGCATGGCAACGTTACACAGCATGTGAGTGTGTGTCGCTCAGGAGGTGTGGCTGAATTGTGGGCTGACACAGGCCTGCTGGTTTCCAACACATGCCCACCTGCCTGCCTGGGTGACAGCTTCATTGAATGAGGCAATGTTTGCTGACTGCATTTTGCCATTTTTAAGCGAGGAACCCAAAACAAATATCACATCATATGTATGGGTACACTGGAGCATTTTCAAATACTGGACATACAGTGACCACTACATAAAAGTTTACATTGCTGTTGCTCAGGCTATCTGATCACTTTCATTTCATTTCATGAAAATTTTGCTATGAAAGAGATTTGTGTTGATTCTGAATAAATGCTTATTGCATATACACTCTTTTTTAACCATAATGATGTGTGCACATGTCATGTTTTATATACAGTTAAAATCATAACTTAATATACCCTGGCATGATTTGTCAGCTGACCTGAAGAAAATATAAGAGATCAGGCAAAATAAATGTATTTTATTTTACTTGGAATGGGATTCAGATTCGGCTATAAGAAATTTCAAAATAATGCCGTCATTAAACAGAGCTCAGCAATAAAGAAAATAGTTTGGTCCCCATTCAGAGATATTGTCCCCAAAAGGGCCAGTATGTGACCAAGGATTGTTGTGAACAAGTTCAGATCCAGGATATGTGTGTGTGTGTATATGTTTATATATATATATGTATATATATATATGTGTGTGTGTGTGTGTGTGTGTGTGTGTGTGTATATATATATATATATATATATATATATATATATATATATATATATATATATATATATATATATATATATATATATATATATATATATATATATACTCTCATGTATATATATATATGAGTGAGAGAGAGAGCGAGACAGAGAGAGAGAAAGACAAATATAGATATTGCTGATGCCGTTGGCCAGATTGTAACATTCTATTGCGAAGTGCTCTACCATCCCAAAACATAACAGAGAGCATAAGAGTTTTGCTGACACAAGCCATGTACAGCCAAAATCAAAGCATAAGACCACAAAAAAGGAAATTAGTGGGCCATCCTTTTCTATCTGTGGCAAAAGACACAAATTCCTAAACACTGTTGCTGATTCCAGTGGGGCTACATGGAACCACTTTGATGTTGGTGTTGCTGCCATTTGGAAAGGTATCCAGCTCCACATACTGACCCTATCTGAAGGCGTGAGTACATTCACTCTCCTTTTTGCATGAAAGCCTGTCACGGGAATGCTGCACATGCACTTTCTTATCTGCATGGGGTCAACTAACAGCGACAGCCCAGAGGCTGACTGAAACGTAACCTGTACTTATTTTCTGACTTCTGCTGGAGGACTAAACAATAATAATAACAACAACAACAACGATGATGACGATGATGATGATATAATATGAGGCGGATGAGAATGACGATATGAGAGCTTGCTGCGTTTGCGAGCGCCGAGCTTTGTGGGAAAGGCGCGTGACATTTCTATTAGCGCACGCAAGGATGTCGGAAGCCTTTTATAGCACAATAAAAGCCGTAAATCAGTCCGGGCGAAACGAGCGCTGGTTCGCAACGAGCTTGAGGAGGTCGCGCAGGGTAGCTGCACGGCGCTCCCCGCCCCGGGTGGGGCTTGCATGGCTCGGCGTCAACCTTGCATTTAGCGGGACACCCAACAGGAGTGTGAGGAAATGGGCGCATGCTCGAATGTTCGGGCGGTCTCGCGCGCGGGATTTTCCATGCAAACCGAGGCTGGCGATGAGTTGCAGCTGCCCATGTATTCCCGTAGAGTCGGATTTGCGATTGCTTTCAATTGCACACAAATTCGGTTCTACAGGGTACATATAGACAACTAATCTCAGCCTTTGTGCAAATGCGCCGCAACGTCCCAACAAGGCAAGCTGCATCTTGTTCTTTGAAATGGTGTTGCGCGCGATCCAGAGGAAACCATACATGACCGCCTTTGACCTAGCGCTCATATGAATATTCAGTCCCCAACACACGCACGCACACACACGCACACACACACACGCACACACACACACGCACACACACACACGCACACACACACACGCGCGCACACACACACACACACACACACCCTGGCCGACACAAAGGGTCGTCGTGACAGCGCAGATGAAAAATAAGTTTCCTTTGTTCCCAAGTATTTCTTTCGGCTTGCTATTAGCATATACTGACCGCTCGCTAACCTTTGTAGCTGCCAGTGGGGAAGCTAATGAGAAAAGGTTGCGATGAAAAATGTCAAATCAGACATGTGGCCCCGTTTGTGCCTTATGAAAAACGCCAACCATAGGCCTGATTGTGAATCGATGGTGCATTGATTACAGTGTAAGTGCACGACCGCTCAACCAGCCTCAGTGTGAAGATGTCACTTCGTTAATAAATAAATAAATAGATTCATAATAGTAGTAGTAATAGTAGTAGTAGTAGTAGTGGTAGTAGTACAAGTAATAATAATAATAATAATAATAATAATAATAATAATAATAATAATAATAAGTTATTGTTATTGTTGTTATTAACATTATTATTGTTGTTATTATCATTACAAGACGAAGAAGGTGGTATGTAAGTGCCGTTTGACGTGCGTGGCAATGAGGATGCGCGCGGTGGACTAGATTGTCGCTAGGATGCATTTTAATCCAAGTTGGACTGACTGACCCGCGCTTCACCCCGCGCGGTTGACTGCCGCCAATAGGTCACTGCCTATAGCTTTATTGACGGAGGGACGGACACCAATGAATTCCTTCTCCGCACAAACGGCTTTCAGACCGGGCACCCATGCAGTTCAATAACTTGCTCTAATGTATAAGTGAAAAAGAAGAGGCCCTCGGGCAGATTATTTGCCTGTTTCATTTATTCATCGGACGGCTAATTAAACGGCCCCTTTGGTAATTAAAAGCCGTACACGTGTATGTATTAAATGCAGACTATGTGGTGGTTCCCCCTGTAAATTGGTGGCCCAGTGGCACCTGACCCGAGCGCTGCAATATTCCTGATGAAATGGCCATAAAGCGAGTTTAATCCAACCCTTAACAGAATAGACTGCACATGCTTTCCCCCTCCCCCACGGGTGGAATAACAATGTGTGGTTCCGTTCCAAAAAGGGGGGGGGGGGACTTTCAATGACGTGCAGACAGTCGTGAGAGAGGTGAAATATGAACATGCACGAAAAGCGGGAGCCACGCCATGAAGAGTGGCTCCGAGATGCTCCCCTGAAGGCAAGGTGCTTGTCTTGCACTTCATTCGAGCTCCATGTCCGATGTGCATCTTACATGACGACGCTGAAGTCGTTTGCGCAACCATTTCCACATATAAGCATGCACGACTCGTGTCTAACCTTTTTTTTTTCTTTTGCAGCTGCTGGTCTGCAGCAAGCACACATAGCGAGCTGCGAGAAGTGTCAGATCTCCCCCGCAAGACAGGTGGACAGGCGACACGGCCCCGCGCAAGCACGCACTCACGTACGCACTTCCTCGCCCGCAGCCGTAGAAGGATCTGCAAAACACAAAAGAGACACGAGATCAAACGTGGCGCCTGAAGGAGGCTGCAACGTTTATCAAAGGAAGCTCAAGTAAACGAAAAAGAAGATATATCAATCAGGGATTTCTGAACTAAATTATTTGGCTGTTTTGTGGCATTTTACCTACTTTTTAACTGTGTCTGCAAATATGTGATGACATATTTTATTTGTATTTTGTTCAACGTTCTGAACAAATCATGGACACATTTTCATTTGATACAAAATGTATTTTTCCACACATTTATTTTGTTGCTAACTTTGTCTTACATGTTCCTTTTCTGACTGACAAGCAACTTGTTGCAAATAAGTGGATCGGCTAAGCCGCGCAGGATAACTTCCTTTCAAAATAATTTTTTTTTTCGTTACGCACAAAGTTTTAGTTTGTAATCATTCGATTGACAAGAGCGCTGCTTCTCGTGTGTCGGCCTGCAACTCATGAACGTCCATGTGAGGTGAGGAAAAAAAACTCCACACTCACTGCACCTAAATTATTTCGATGGCTAATTACAACCTTTTGCGTGTTCATTTGGTTTTGGGGGACGTTGAATAAATGTTGCGCTGGCTCCTTTTTTAAATGTAAGGCGATTTAATTCCAACCAGAGGATTTGTTTAATTGATGAGAAATGTTTACTTCCATTTGTATTTTCATACATTGTTCGATCGTCGTTTAATTTTTGCTTCGATGATTTACTTACAAATGGGCCAAGGATGCCGGAGAAAGAAGAGGGGGAAAAACACTAGCTGAACAAGGATTGAGGAGAAACATTTAGGACGGGCCGTTTTGACACAACACTAAAACATAAACCTCGATCACTAGAAAGCCCACTCACGCAATCAGGTTAACAGAAGCCGACTTTGTGCTCACATTCGGGAAGCGCGATGCAGTGCGACTTGATATTTGCAATGTGGGCCGAGACAAAGGAAAAGTCACCCGGAAGTGACCTGGGCATCTTGAATAATGACCGTGTCGGCTGCACAGGTCAGAGAAAGCAACAACAAGAGCGCACGCGCGGCATCGCGCACACACAAACACAGGCGTGCACGCGCTGCCGCTGAAAGCGAATGCTCCACTTTCAATCCTGAGGCGCGAAGGCGAAAAGTGCATATAAACACAAAATTTGGTTTAGTAGCCATTCCCGTCATTAAAAGGTGCACATTTGGCGTAACGTGGGCTCCACAAATGGTCCCAAAATATATACTGGACGTGAAGAGTTTACTGTAAGAGGACACACACACACACACACACACACACACACACACACACACACACACACACACACACACAAGCAAATGCACTTTTGGAGTGTGTCCCACAGTGCCCCCTAACGGAAGTATACTACGCATCAGCATGCTCCACACGAAACGCGGAAATAAAACAAAAAGCCCATCGTTGAAAGGAACAATCTTGTTGCTGCTGACGCTGCAATAACATGGCAACACAAAGAGACAACTCAAGTCAAAATGAAGACTTCACAACTGACATGAGAAAATAAGAGGCTCCGTTCAACTGGCCGAGCAGCCTGTGGCTCTACGACACACACACGCACACACACACACGCACACACACACACGCACACACACACACGCACACACACACACGCACACACACACACGCACACACACACACGCACACACACACACGCACACACACACACGCACACACACACACGCACACACACACACGCACACACACACACGCACACACACACACGCACACACACACACGCACACACACACACGCACACACACACACGCACACACACACACGCACACACACACACGCACACACACACACGCACACACACACACGCACACACACACACGCACACACACACACGCACACACACACACGCACACACACACACGCACACACACACACGCACACACACACACGCACACACACACACGCACACACACACACGCACACACACACACGCACACACACACACGCACACACACACACGCACACACACACACACACACGCACACACACACACACAAAATACAGTTTAGCTCACTCACTCATCAACAGCATTAAATTCAGTCAAGCAGACATGTCCACGTTTTTTTGGGGGGTAAAGGATTTTTGTTTGCAGGGATTTGAATTTGCACATGCAGCACGACAAAATTTCAGTGGAATATTTCCAAAGCGTTTTCACGGCTGTCTGCAGCACGAAACCACAACGACGCTGCACTCATTCGTCACACTCACACGCAAACACACTCAAACGCACACACGCACGCATTTTGTTTTATTCGTTTTGTTACACAACAAAACACATTTAGGTTTGCTTACACAATTAAAAAGCCTAAAAGCGCCTGAACACACACATACAGATTTCCAATTGTTGACAAGTTTTATCTGAATAACTAAATGGCATTGCGTTCAACGACAACGTGCCACTTACCGTAAAAGATGTTTGTATTTACGATTGGTTTTGACCGTGTTCAACGATCCGAAAATCCTGCGTCAAATCCACGCATGTACACGGGACCCTTTCCAATAAAATGCATGTGCGACGTGAAAATAATTGGTTGGCACCGTTTTCGTAAAACAGTGACATGGACGGTGAATACGGGCTTCGGGGCAACTTACATGCCCGGCGTCCGAGTTGCCCGATCGTGCCTTGCAGCGAGCCCTCCGCGGCCCAGATCAGGCGTACACACGCAGGCATGCACGCGGCCAGCCAGCAGCTGTGATCTCCGGACAGTTAAGATTATATATGATGTGTATATATCGAAGGTTTGTCAGCCCTTCCAGGCCATAAAAGCCACTTAAATGACACCACGTGCTTCCCAAGCACCATTCACGGGGCCTGCTCCGGCCAATTGGCATATGTAACCTTGTAAACTTTAAAATACCCGAAAAAAAGACTGCCATGCGGGGCAAAACGAGGGGCGTTCAATACAGGCCCACGCCGCAGGGAAAAACAGTAGACGCCGATTTTCTCTTCTTGAAAGCACCAAGTAAGTTTGATTGGGATTCAGGTGAGTCCCCTTGATTTCTTATTTTATTCCTTCGCCGGGGGGTTCCCATTCAAGCCCTTGTGCGTTTAAAAACAAACCAGCAAAAAAAAGGACAACGCGGTATACACGGGGTGTGCGCTGCCATGCAATTGTTGCGTCAAGAGCGTTATGGACGCTGTGACCAGATGTTGTCTTGTAAAAAGGACAGCGAACTTTAGCTGCGTGCGTGTCGTTTTCCGCATGGGAAGTGGGAGGCGATGCAAGGCCGAGGCGAGGCCCGGGCGAGGCCGGGGCTTCCCTTCCTTCTCCTAGCAAAACAGGAAACAGTTTGTCCGGAAACGAGGGCAATAAAGTTTAATGGGGGCCTTAAACTTGATTGCGCGTTTGTCGCTCGACTTGCAACCAGACTACAAATGTGAGCTCATTGTTTAAACGACGCGTCGTTACGCCACCACGAGGCGTAAACGTTGTCAAATGCCATAAAAAGAACGTCATAAGTGGAAAGAAAACACAAATAGTGCATGTCATCACTTTATTGGTTACAGTCAACGATGAAACTATCAATGATGCTATTTATTCACAGGGCACCGGAAGTCAACAGAGATTATTTTTCCCCCACATCACTGTATCGCCATACAGTTGTATCGGGTTACATAGATTAATTAGTCACTCGCAAAGAACGCACCAAACACAACATGGTACACGGAGAACGTTTGATGAGGGAAAAGTTGACGTGGTTTTATCGGCACGGTAATCCCAATTAGGCGCATGCATAAGTGGTCGGCGCCCCCAAAGTGGTCTGATCGTCGAATTGGCCACATAAATCCAGTTAGCAACGCAAAACAATTGATCAACGTGAGTGAGAGTCAATAGAGTGGGTCCCAAACAGCAACGCGTGACACATAATTGCTGATGAAGAGCCGCGGTGCGCTGCCATGACGTCATTGCTCCCCGCAGTTCATCCGCAAGTCAGGCCGCTCTCTGCATGCTCCATATGCGGTGATGCAATTTGCGTTTATTCCTTCACTTTGATCTTGGAGTTCTTCTTCCACTTCATGCGCCGGTTCTGGAACCAGATCTTGATCTGTCTCTCGTTGAGACACAACGAGTGCGCGATCTCGACGCGCCTGCGGCGGCTCAGATAGCGGTTGAAGTGGAACTCCTTCTCCAGCTCCAGAGTCTGGTAGCGGGTGTAGCTCGTCCTCGAGCGCTTGCCCTCCGATTCTGCCGTGTTGCAAACACAAGTTAGCAATCAACGGACGTTCGTTCAGAAGGTCTTTTGTCTAAAAAGGTCGGGGGGGGGGGGGGGGGGGGGGGGGGGGGCTACGTGGTGTGGTCTTTGTTTCTTGTTTCTGTAGTTTCTTGTTCCTTTGTACAACGAAAGGTTTCGACAAATATAGCGAGGGCGACAAACACACCTCTTATGATTTGAACTGCAGAACTGACGTGAAGCCATTTGCCAAGGTTTTCTTGATAATCACCGAAATCGCTGTCATCAGAATGAAGCATTACATGTTTGCTTTTCTTTCTGTTCTACTCATGATACACCTTGTGTTCAAGAGGAATCGACGAAAACGAGGTGGTCGAAGCACCTTTCCCCGACTGGGCATGTAATTTAAGGAACGAAGAATTTCATTTGAAAATAAAAACATTCCAAATATCTTAGCATTAAAAGCAAAAGTTCCTCGGTTCCTCTGTGCGGTGCACATTACAGTCGTAGCAAACTGCACATTTTTAAAGAAGACACGTTTTTGATTTGCCTGGATAAACGACGCAGTGGTTTCACAATAATGTTTGTTGTTGCTTTATTTCCGTGTATACACGAGAGCTGTGTCTAATATTTCGACTCTCTTATCGTGTTGTGAAACGTGCTACAAACCACTTAGAAATGCCTCATGGTCTTAAAAAAGGGCATGCCAGTGTCAATCAAAACGGACCTTTAGGGGACGTTTGCGTGCATTGTGACTTGAAATGAACAGACTTCACAGTCAAATTACACAACGCTGAATTTTGCTCGATACATTTCAATTTAGAGACGAAATGGTAGTTTTGCTCAACCTCAAAGACTGCTGGCCTCATGGCGGCCCATACCACAACACTTAGAATGAAATAACAAGTCTGAAAATGCAGACTGTGAATATTTCACTCACCGTTTTCTCTATATTGCGATGCCCAGACACTCAGAGGCTGCAACTAAACAAATAGTCGGACATTTTGAAGCCTTCCTGGGGCGTGCTGCCTGTCTGGCAGGCTGCGATGTTTGCATGCGTGTGAAGTAAGAGAAAACACAATGGTTGGCCGTCCAACGTGTGGCTCCGCTGCGTGCAAAAGAGTGCATGCATGCCTATTCAAATCTTTTCGAGGTGAAGAGTTCAGCCTAGGGTCAGGTCATTGGTGATTCCCAGAGTTCAATTTAAGGCTAAAGCTTCAAACACACACACGCACACACACACGCACCGATCATGTAAAGCATATATACACGTTGCACTGCATGGGACGAATTAGAAAAGCAACAAAGAAAATAGTATACGGATGAATCAGTAATATTATTTGATAATTTTGTCACATGCAGTTTGATCCTGTGGTCCAATTACTGCAGCATAAATCAGCCCTCAAATCACCTCTTCGCCGTAATAGAGCAGCTTTACGAGCAATGGATGCCTTTGTCATAAAATTTATGGCCGCGAGTTTTTATTATTTCCTGCGTTTGGCCTATAAAACTCAAGAGGGAAAGTGGAGCGCTCGAAAAGAAGTGGAGCAGCGCGAAAGAGGGAGTGAGAAGACAGACGCAAAGTTTACCGTGGCTCATGTGCAGTTTGGTCATCCACGGATAAATCTGAGGTTCGTGCTCACTGCTTTGCGGCTGGCTGCCCTCCGCCTTCCGCGAGCCCGCTTGCGCCTTTCCCGCACTCGGGCCGCCTTCGTGGCTGCGCTCACCGCTGGACTGGGCCCTCCTCCGCGGGGCTCTGTCAGCGCCGCGGCCGTGCGTGTGAGGTCCCGGCGGCAGAGGAGCCTCCCCTGGGCTGCCTCTCGGGCTCCTTCGCATCTCTTCCCGCCCGAGCGAAGCTGCGGGCACCGGCCGCGAGAATGTGGCGCTCCCACTGACGACTCGGTGACGCCCGACGAAGCCAAACATCGCACAACTTGTCTCGCCCGCTTGCCTCACACTGCAGCTGTCAATATTAGAGCTCATTTTCAAAATCGCGCGACACTTTCAGCGCCCAGATGCTTGCTGGATAGACGCTGCTCTTCGTCTCTGATTTGTGTTGATCATTGCTTTTCTTGGTAGCCACGTTTGAAAGAAGAAAAAAAAAACAGCCTCGCTTTTAAAGAAAAAAATAATCCGGGATTTATAGGCGGAGTGGCCTTTGGTATGTTTTTTTTAATCCTTGATCCGATGCGCGCTGCCCAAATATGGCCTATTTGTATGGGATCACGTGCGGATGTTGGCCAGTCATAAATTGGCGTTGATACTCAATGGGGATATTGATGAATGGCAAAGACGTGTCCAGTAAACTTCGAGCTGCTGCTGCTGGGGAGCAGGGCAAGCAGACGTTCGCGAAAAAGACCATCAGAGTAGGACAAGAGCGTCATCTGCTGTTGGGAAGGGGGCAAGACGGCCCGGGAAGGGAAGGGCACGCGCTTTGGACACACCGAACTCTGCAATCATCCACTCGTTCGCCATTCTCATAAAAAATACAACAATAAATGAATGACATAAAATTACAAGAATGTTCAAAGCAGTGCTTTTTTTTTGGAAAGTGTTGGATTGTCGTGATCTGTAAACGTCCTGTTATTTTCAGTAAAGCACCCAATAGTCCAAAACGTTCAGCACCTATTATGCCCATAAGAAAATGTTTTTGGACTATTCCCAAGTCCATAAGGTGTTTCTGGGAAAGGGTGACCAAACTAAGTTCCCCACTCCACTTTTTTTAAGACCCACAAACTCAACACAGACAAGCCGTGGTGCTCCTCCCACCCCCTCACCAGAGCCCCCATTAAGGTACACTTCACAAAAGGCACATTTTTACAAATATTTTATTCCATATGATACACAATTATGACAAAACAAGAACTTGTAAAATAAAAAATGACGTGTACAAATATATTTCACAAGGAATTGTGTCAAAGGCTCAAAAAAGGGGAGTAAGCGCAATTTGGTGTTGTGCGTTGTTTATCAAAGCAACTAAATGCACATTCAGTCTTGAAGGATTTGCATATTTGCTGAGTTGATCAGCGGCCTGTACACAGGCACATATTTTGTGTGCGTGTGTGCGTGTGTGCGTGTGTGCGTGTGTGCGTGTGTGTGTGTGTGTGTGTGTGTGTGTGTGTGCAGCAGTCTCTTCGCGCAACGTTCACGTTTCTGCAAGAGCTATGTTTACATCATCTCTATATATTCAAGTAGTAGCCTGCATGCATGACACTGTGACCAAACGAAGGGTCCGAATCCTTCCGTCCGCGGAATGTCGAGACAAACTTAACACTGGATTTGGTGTGCACATACTTCACAGTGATGCAATGGCTGCGGTTAAATAGTTGCTACTGGCATTGGAAACCACGTAGGAATTAATTCTTCGTTTGTTTTAATTATTTGCACAATGCAAGTGGGAGAGGATAATAATAAAAATAATAATCATAATAATAATAATAATAATAACATAATAGTGATCCAGAATCACGGGAATCAGAAAGTGGCTGGAATTATTGGGATTGTTTTTTTTTGTTTTTTTTTTTCTTCTTCTTCTTCTTCTTGTTATTTTTTAAGGCTCATCACCCCCGCGCGATGAGGACGAGGAGAGGGAGCCTTCATGCAGTGTGGTCCGTTTCAGCTCCATTTTTAGGTAGTAATGTTGTTGTTCTATTTTCCACGTGGCTGGAACTATTCCTTCTGTTTCTTATCCTCGTTCTCCTCGTCTTCTTTCGGCGCGCCGCCTCCTCCGCCGCCGCCTCCGCCGCGTTCGTCGTCTTGCGTGGCGGCCGTGGACTCGGCTCCGGCCACTGTGGAGGTCAGGTTGCTCTCCTTCTTCCACTTCATGCGTCGGTTCTGGAACCAGATCTTGATCTGGCGCTCGGTCAGGCAGAGCGCGTTCGCGATCTCGATGCGTCTGCGGCGAGTCAGGTAGCGGTTGAAGTGGAACTCCTTCTCCAGCTCCAGAGTCTGGTAGCGGGAGTAGATCTGTCGTCCCCTGCGTCTATCTGTCCCGTAGCCCACTCCTGCTGGGGTAGAAAGTCGCCCGTTCAATGAAGATGTTTTGATTTGACTGATTGATTGATTGATTGATTGATGAATTGATGAATTGGGTGAGTGGTGTGTGAGTTTATTTGGGCTGGGGGTGGAGGGTGGGGGGATTGTCCTGCGTCTTGGAGGACATGTTGGCCTTGCTGTATCAATAAATGCAAGCATGTACACGAGTTCGGCGCGCAAGCTGTTTGTTCGCACATGCAAAAGGCCCATCTACAAGTCAAGGAGATACAGTCGTGTTTTATGGGGCCATAAAAAGTAGCTTACTCTCTTGGTGAGACAAATCGTAAAAGGGGGCCCATTCCCTGAATTGATTGGCTGCTAGTAAAACTCACCGCTGTGTGAGTTCATGCGCTGCATCCACGGGTAGATCGGGATGTTGCTCTTCTGATCCTGGGCCGCCCTGCTCTGCTCCAACGCGTAATCTTGGCCGATGTGGCTCTGCGCGCCACTCAGTCCCACGTTTGCCTGCCTACAGCTGGGCAGCACGTCTTTGTCCTGCAGGAAGACTCCGGAGCCGTAGTCGTACTGGGGCCGGCCCGAGCCGAACACCACGTTGTCCTGGGGCGAATAGAAAGGGCCGGCGGCGTATATCCGATGGTTCTGGCTCACGGCTGCGGCGCCGTACGATGAGAAGTGTCTGACTGTGTCATAGGTGCTGGAGTTGATGGGCACGTTGGGCAGAACCTCTTGGCCGCCGGACAGATGGCAGGAGAGCGACGGGTTGGCGAAATACGAATTCATACCTGGCCTCTTCTGCAACTCTGCCCACTTCTTTATCGCTCGCTTTTCAATCTTCCTTCCCAGTAAATCTCCCTCTCGTGTGTGTCAGCCAACCACACCTTTCCGCGAGCTCCTCTTCTCTCTTTTTTCCCCTCTCTCCCCCCCTTTCTCTCTCTCTCTCTCCCTCGCTCTCTCTCTCACTCTCTCCCTCTTTCCCTGGTGTACCCCGTGATAGCACCTCTACTTGTCTGCCTTTGGCGATTCAAAATTATTAGTTTGCAATCTCCGCTGAAGACGCACAAAGCCCAGTGTGATAGTCGAGGCTTGTCTCGCTCGCAGACAATATGACCAAGTCAGCTGACCCGGCTCCACCAATGGCGAGGCGGGAGTGCGGTCGAAACTCTCGCTCCGAGCCCAGAGCTGCATGGAGCATTCGTGCAAAATGCCGAGAAACATGGAAGCGACACAAACGCTTGCGCGTGAACACACACACACACACACACACACACACACACACACACACACACACACACACACACACACACACACACACCGTGCGCACTCGTCTTGTGAGCGCAGCAACCGTCAAGGAAGTGTTTACTTTCATAAAGGCAAATGTGACTGATGACATGGAGTGGGCACGTTTACATTCAAATCCTGTCCAAAGAGTCGTGAAGGATATTATTTACTAATACCGCATTCGGTATAAACGCGTGTTGTGACTCAAATATTGAATGTTTCCCATGCAAATACATTTAACACCACACACGCACGCACGCACGCACGCACGCACGCACACACACACACACACACACACACGCAAACACACACACACACCCACACACACACACACACACTCACACACACACACACACACAGATTCTTTCTCCAAGCGGAATGTTACCGATGAAAATTGACATTTCATATTTATACAGGCCACATCGATGACTTTCTCGTATGGCGCCAAAGTTTCCACGGCGTGATAAATTGCTAGACGTGCGAGCTATTTCCAAAACCTTGCAGTGAACAGGGGGAGGTGGTGTATGAATGCGTCGATGGTCTCTCTTGTGAAAGCGAGGGCAATAAAACACGCTCCCCAGCCCACCAAAAACTATCCCTGCAGCAACACGAGATGGCCGCCTGCAAGCACAAACGTGTAAAAAAAGAACAAGAAAAAAGTGCTTTTATGAGCATTATTACTGTCAAAACCCCACTCGGTCTTCAGATAGAAATATACTCCACACACGCGACTGCCAGCGAGGCTTTTTAAGCAGCTGGTTGTGAAGTGCTGAGTGGTTGCCGTCATACGTGTGCATTCCTTCGTCGTCCACCATGCAAACTGATGATTATGTGAGCGACAAATAATGGCCTTGGAAATTGCTTTTGAGGCGCACCACCAACACACAAAACTTGAGCGATTGTCTGCCCGCAGTGTGACTTGTCCAACTCCAAACGGATATTAGCATTGCTGCACTTTTGTTCTGCATGCGCTGATAAATTGGCTGCAGCGAGTGACTTGTTTCTTGTCGTTGTCCCCAACCTAACAACATAATATAACAGCAATACACTGAGTAGAAATAAAATGTTTACGGGGTGACTTTTCAACTGGTCAAACACTGGAAAACAATCCGTCCTGATTCCAAAGTGCATTTACAGGCTGCCTCGTTGATTTGTTGTGCATGCCTCGACAGCCCACCAAAGAGACAACAAAGACGAGGAAGTGACTTGCCATAAAACGTTCCTTCCCTCCACCTTATTTGTGGCCATATGTGCACGGTGACTATCCATCCGCCTTTGCAGCAAATGTTTGGCGGGCGGCATGCGTGCGTGTGCTCTGCCTGGATCTCAGGATCACGTCAAAAAATATATGCGCTCGTTTTACATTGCAGGCTTGATCATTTTCTTTTCTTCTTCTCTTTTTAAAACGCTCTTGGTTATGTGCTGGCATCCCTCTGAATTCGACAAATTAATTAAAATTGTACTTTGAACATTTTCATATCCCCACACAGCAACTGTCAAGAAGTGGCAGACACAGCGTCAAGTTTGGTCTGTAAATAAAAGGCGAGGAGCGAAGCCTGCAATGTGCGCCGCGACGTAGGCTGCACGGCTGGAATGCAGCAGAGATTCACCCACCGCACTGCACAATTGGAGAGGTCAGACTTGCCTTCGTGTTTTACGCGTTTATTGCGGGCCCATCATGCGCGCGTCACGGGCAGCTTGAGCTGCGCCAAGGCAGCCTTTTGCAGTTCCACTTTCATCCCGAGCATCTCGGGAACAAAACTAAAACAAAACGCAAAAAAAGGACGCCTCGATACTGACCAACCCCACTGCCTTTAATTAACTTGTATAATCATCATAATCATAACGATAACAATAATAATAATAATAATAATAACAACAATAATCATGATCATGATAATAATAATAATTATTATTATTATTATTACAAGTACAACTATTATTATTATTATAATAATAATTATTATTATTATGTCGGCTCTTTTTATTTCCAATCCAAGGCTTTTAACTCAGCGAGTTCATGCACGTAAAACTGCTTTTTTGGGTGGTTTTTCACGTGACACACTGTTATTTTTTATGGCAAGTGTACAATTTCTACATAATTCGTCATGATTAAAACGCAGCCCGCAGGGATCTTTGGGCTGGCAAGCCCTGATGTCTCCCCGTTTTGCTCGCCTTCCTAATTCTGGCTGGAACATAATGTAAAACTGTCTATAGGCACTTTAGTGTGGCAGGCTGGCCCAATTAGGTCCGGAAGTGTTGGACTTTATGCTCGTTATGCACTCGGGAAGCCAGTGCCCGGCAAGCGGCATGTTGATCCACACGTCATAAATTAGGGCCATTAGTGGGCAAAAAAAACTTTTGCCTTGTCGGGAGTTATAAATGTGGTGATGGGGACAGATGGAGGACTTCAATGGACCTTTATTTACGAATACAAAACAAGAAGCATTCCGCCCTTCTGCTTTTTATTTTTTGTGTGATCTGAGCGGCATCGCGGTACATGCAGCACATGTTCTAAAATGGCCTGTTTGCTTCTTTGTGCAGACCTTTACAGCAGCAGAGCCTCGCAAGGGGACAACAAACCACTTGCAAGGGCGGCTCGTGAGGATTAACGAGGCAAGAAGAAGCACCATTTGGAAAATAATTACATTTTTCCTGCAGCGTAGAAGGCCATTGTCGATTTTCGGCACGAAGGAAACATACACCCCACGCGAATATCGTTTAAAGAACACAATTCACGTCACCATGTAAAAAGGGGCAAGGAGAATCTGAAACACACGCGCATGATTACGTCGTGGAGCCGCAAATCCACATTTTGTAAAATGTTTGTACACACGTGATAGGGACATGAAATTGGTTTTGAGGCCCAAACACATAATACTGAAAGCCAAATCACAGACCCACACACACACACACACACACACACACACACACACACACACACACACACACACACACACACGCACACGCACACGCACACAAACACACTCACGCACACGCACACAAACACACACACACACACACACACACACACACACACACACACACACACACACATTCACATACACTCAAAGGGCGCAGCTGTTATCCGCACGTGTATGCTGGGATTTAATTTATTTATTTATTTTTGGGACGGGGTGGGGGAGGTCAAATTTCGTCAGGGAAAAAGCTGAAATGCGTTTACTGACAATTTTGATGTATATTTTGAGTAACAAGTGAGCAGCTCCTCGGCACCACACACACTTCTCCTCTATAGCTGTGATTATAATTCCTAATGTCAGTACATATGAACGACAATAAAGATGATCATGCAACCTCCTCAAGGTGTGATAGTGTCTTGCATACAGAAAGCAACGTGAGGCGTTGATCGGCACAAAGTGGAGCTTCTCCAAGTTAGCATTCGCAGACTTCGCCAACACACACACACACACACACACACACACACACACACACACACACGCGCGCGCGCGCACACACACACACACACACACACACACACACACACACACACACACACACGCACACACACACAAAAGCACTCGTAAGTGGGTCAGCTGACATCCACAGCGAGACAGGAAGGAGCTCAAAACAACAACTGCCCCGCCCACTTCCACTTGCAACAAGGCTGGTCGCTAGGGGGCACTGTGGGGCCCTACTACGGGATCAGTGCAAACCTCATTTTACCGGCGTGTGTATGCATGTGTTTGTGTGTGAGTGTGATACACAGCAGCCTCTTGGCAGAACCTTGAACGTAACAAAAACAACAACTTAATTACAATGCATCAGTCAGCCCTCACAGTAATCATGACAGGGTGTGTCTTAAAAAAAGAGTATCCGGCTAATTGCTAACGGCCCACTGGCCACATCAGCGTTCAAATGCGGAGCCGTGGAAGTGGCCGCTCAGGTACTCTTGGCCGCCAGCAAGCCAGCCAGCGCCGCCCCTGCGGCGTGGGGGCTCCCATGAGTCACACGCGACCCCATGCACGCACCCTGCCATCATCTCAGGCGCATCTGCTTCGCCCACGAGGCCACATCCAAACACGAGCAGAAAGACGAAGGAGAGAAATGCGCAGTCCTACCTCCGTCGGGGCTCGGCTGGCGCTCATCTTGACTGCCCACGCTCGCTCGCGCAGGAATGCGCGCGCGCGCACGCACGCAGCCTATGAGGATACAGCATGGCAAAGTCCGTTTTTGCAGCTCCTTTTCCTTCCGTCTTCCGGAGGGAGAGCGGCTGGCTGCAGGCTGGCTGCGCGAAGCGGAGGCTGTCTCCAAGATGCCCGCATCAGGAGGCGCGAACGACGGTCCAAACGTGTTAGGTGCCCACGTTCGAGTGGAGAAAAGGGACGCTTTTACACAACTGCAGCCTGCTCTGCTGCCGATTCAAAGGAAGGAGCGGGGAATAGACAACAGCATAAAGTTCATGTTCATACAGCGTGAGCCACGTGGCTCGCTGCAGCCAATCACGGCGAGCCGTGAGTCGTAAACTTTTATTACTCAGCTGTAAATTTCTCCCTTTAACAACCAGGAATGTTTGCACCCATCTTTGCCATTCCCCCTTCTTTCCAGTGCAGCAAATATACAGCATGAATAAAAGGAAACAGCCGCAAGAGACGCAGCTCGAATGCTGACATTTCAGGGTATATGCTGTAGGGCAGCAAAGATGACCGAGAGGAGGACGCACTGCAGACGACAGCGTAATAGACAAGCAATTTTTAATGACGCAATCGTCAATAATTCACGGCGTGCAGGGCAAATAAACAAGCGCACAATTAAGAGAGGAGGAGCCGTGAGTGGAATCAGACGAAGGACGAAGCCAATTGAAGGCCTCTGGAGCCTTCCTTCATTCACATGATGCAACGCGCCCAATCAAGAGCGCGCACTGCCTCTCCAACCGATCAAATTCAACAAACTTCAACATGTTGCCGTTTTAGACCAAGGAAGGCAATGCCGAATGGCGCTGCAC